TTTTTCATCATGTCCCCCTTCCCTCCGTACAATAACAATGTGTTGAATTCAATAACACTATACTTTGACACTAAAGCTACAACACGACTTTAACCTCTTAAGTGGCATCGACGTATATAAACGTCTCGCTCAGACAAAGCGTTAATTGCCCCGGACGTATATATACGTCTTTCCGAAGTACAATCTTCTCTGTGCACTGCTATCCATATAATTATTCCGAACACTTTGGAATCCAATAAAAGGATCTTGACAGTGTTTGCGAGATATTTATTTTTAGAGAAGGTTTAACTAATTCACACCTTTTCACGCGCGAATCGTCGCGTAACTTTTAATCGGCAGCTAAGGGATTAATTATAAACCGTACAAATGATCCAAAATAAGTATTAATTTTTGTGTATAATTTTATAAATGACCCATGGGGTTACTGGTAATTATAAAACGTTCTTGACTTAGTACTGTTCAATTAATTATGAAATACATTGTGCAATACTGATACATTTATAAGTATATTATATATCAGTGCAAATGTGCCTTTTATATTTTATTAATTCAGAATGTATTTTGTTTGTTTACTATCAGTAAATCAATATATTTTTTAAACAATCTTTTGTTTTCGACTTTTCAATATACTCGCCCTAGGGGGCACACCCTACAGTTTGGGAAGCGCTAAGTTAAGGGAAAATCCGACCCCCGAACCAAAACTGGCGAAGTAAGAAATGAAGGAAAGGAATCCTTTGGAAATAGTGTTGGTGGTATAACAATTTGAAACGCCTAGGGCACCGGGGAGTTTAAAAAAGGCCCTGGTGGTTATGGTCCCGAAAGCGAGGCCGGAGTGTCACAGATTCGAATCCTGGTGCCATTGAAAACGCCCTGTGCAGTGCGGACTTATGCACCTTAAATCTGTTAAAGCCCAATGTCCTCCCGTCTGAGTGGTGTGGTAGTTAGAAGAGGGAGTGAAAGCTAAAAGGACGTCCTTGTTTCTTGACAGAGGATCAAAATTACGAGGTCAGTTTCTAATAGCCAACTTATTACTTTGTAGTGCGACGTTGATGTAACTGATGAAGTTGATGTATCTCACTTCGATGCTTCTTGATGATTATTCGCGACGGTCTTCACAATTTTGAGGCATGTTCAAGTGAGAGTAATACTTGATTTGACTCCTCACTCTTCCAACTTCCCCACTACGTCAACATGAGAAATTTGAACATCGGAAGATTTAACATGTAGTCTATCTACAGAATTTTGTAAAAATGAGTAAGAGGGAGACAAATATTTGAAGTGGTGCATTTCCGTGCGACGGAGCCCGCTACCTACCAGTCTGAAACCGCGTAACATTCCACAAAACAAAAGTGATCACCTCTATCTGGAAGCTGTTACTGGATTATATAGATACCGCTACAATACTCTTCCACCAGTGAGTCGGTGGTAGGCGAACAAACGTGAGATATTTGTTGCGGTGAGCGTGTGAATTGTTTTGGTTAATTAGTGGTGTTGCATCAAGTGAGTCTGACGACTTTGGTTGCTGTATCAAGTGAGTCTGACGACTTTCAGTTTCTCTTTTTGCGGGTAGATGGCTCCACGGCAGATCATAAGGTTGTCTTTTTCTTAGTTCAGCCATGATCACCAATGAAGTGAAGCATATCCGGAGGACAGAACCTGCGACCTATGGTTTCGTAAGCATACTACTAGACAAAAGAGATAACTTCTGTCCGAAGGCTGTTACTGGATTATATAGATACCGCTACATATTAACGTTACAGTGCAAAACAACACATGGGCTGTAAGCGACATACCTCGTATTTTGAACTCGATAAGTGACGAGAACGAACTCTCCCAACTGTAACCACACTCACCAACGAGAAGATATTAAACCTCAACAGATTTAATGTGCATCGGCTTCCTCTACACGGTGGGTGAGCTGTGTGAGAAAAATGTTTTATTGTTACGACTAATTATAGTAGCTTAAATTAATACTCACGTAGAAATGAAAATAAAATCCCTCTTTTTGATTCATATAGAATCATAAATTGTAATAAAATGCTATAACACGTTTTGCACAAGTTTTATTTATCGTAACTATTTATAATTTTCAGACAAGCTACCTACTCAAGGATTTGGATAAACCCTTTATTTATCTTTAAAATATCGAACATCACTACACGATTTAATAAGTATGTGTCAAAGGGATGTGTTCTTTCTGTTAAACTTCAAGTTTTCTTAAGAAATAGGAATGAAATTTGACATTATACATAGTATTAAATCAGAATGGTCCAACATTAATACAACAAATAATATTGTTACACATTTTGTATAAAATAGTTTAAATAACTTGTATTTCGATGTGTAATGCATTTATATTACTATATGTTATACTTATTTTATGTTAAAGTTGCAATATTCGCAAGCTACGCCGTCCCTTCCCATTGAATCACCTTTATGGGATTCAATAGGAATTTGGTGAAATCTTGGCAATAAAGCCAAGTTGGCATCATTTTGGTGACTATTTTTGACTTCGGGACCCTATGGATTATTCTGAAAATTAGAGGAGAAATACACTACTTTCTCGATCTGTGATGCAAGTGGCTCTTTCTGGAAGGATTCACGAGACTTATGAATAGGAAGACGCTCTCTGGCACTGAATTAGTATTGCTTTCACACGCAATTAGTAGTCATTCCTTGATCGTAACAATCGACTTGTGATTAGCTCGGCTGTTGTGTAGGACGAGCAATGCTTGTGAATAATATTTCACATACTAGTATTTTAGACACTGATAGTTTTAACGGATCGATGTTGAAGGTGTGAATACCTTCTGAGATTTATTCTGCGAATATTACTCTTGAAACCTGTATTTCAACTATTGTTTTTCGACAGTAAGTTCTCATCGTTCTTAAAGAACTATCTTGTTCTTTGCGACTGATTCGCATAAAATCCTAGAACTCCCATCAACGTAACAATACTATAGGACAGCGTTTCTCAATCTGTGGGGCGCCCCCCTTGAGGGGCGTGATAACTCTACAAGGGGGGCGCAAGCATATTGAAAAGTTGAAAACTAAAGATTGGTCAAAACATTATTAATTTACTGAAAGTAAGCAAACAAAATACTTTCTAACATAATAAAATATAAAACACACATTTACACTGATATAATACACTTATAAAAGTATCTGTACCGTACAATGTATTTAATTTTTAATTTAATAATACTAAGTTAAGAACAAGTTTGATAATTACCAGTGGCCCCATGGGCTTGTATTAACACTTATCTTGATGATTTGTACGGTTTATAATTAATTCCTTAACTGCCTGCTAACAGTTACGCGGTTCGATTCTTAATGCCACGGTTTGCCACGTAGACGCGAGTATTTTGATGTTTCTTTTAGGGGTAGGAGAAAAGGAATAAACAAGCAAATTCTCTGAAATAAGTAAATCCTTCGAAAACACTGTCAAGGTCCTTTTATTGCGTTCCAAAACCTTCGGAATAATTTTATGGATAGCAGTGCACAGAAAAAATCGTACTTCGGAAAGACGTATATATACGTCCAGAAAATTAATGCTTTGGCTGAGCGAGACGTTTATATACGTCTGTGATACATAAGAGGTTAAAGTCGTGTTGTAGCTTTAGTGTAAAAGTATAGTATTATTGAAATCACAATACATTGTTATTGTATGGAGGAGGGCACGATGAAAATGATGATTGAATATTGGGACGCGAGTATTGAAAGTTTGAGAAGCACTGCTATAGGACAATAACAAAATTTCTCTCTTTACCATGACAGCAAATATTCGTTGATTTTGCTACTCGAAAATGTAGAGGTAAAGTAACTGCAATATGTTGAAAATACAAGTCTTCATTCTTTCAGTCTGTAGCAGGAAATCACTTTAGATGATAAAAGTGTTTGAGGAAATTGACAGCAAAATGATGTACATTTAATGGCCTTCTGTTCTTATCTATAAAAGAAGATTTTTCTTTTAAAAGATAAGATTTATTTGAGTTATGAGTTCTTTGTATTGCTACATTTCTTCGGTTTTCGCTTTTTCTGGAGAAGTTAGTTTATGTGAAAAATAAGATTTTCTTCAATCATTTCCAAAGAAAAAAATTTATAAATGAACAGTGTTATTTTTTTTCTGTTGGAAAGTTTTAAAACATACTTAGCAAAAAACAGAATAATTACCTTTTCCTTATTTATCAAAATTGAAGCAAAAAGCAATTTTTCGCTTTCCAACTAGTAAATTTCAGAAATGTATTTATGTAATTCCTTTTGAAAAATAAATTGCTGTCATGCTTTTATTACAATATGTAAATATGCAACCGTTTCTTTAATTTACTTCGTTCATCTTTTTATTTTTAATAATGTAAAGTTGCATATCTCGTTCTTAACTTTTCGAAAAAAATATTGAAGTAAAGCATTCATTTGGTAGATAAATTTTATATACTTATACTTGGGTTTGTTATTCTGAAAAGGTATCAAGTGTGGGAAAGAAGTTGGTGTGACGTGGAAATTTTAAGAAGGAGGTGCACGCTTAGGTGTCATCCTTGTATTTTGTCTCTAATCCAAAAGTAGTAGGTCCGTTGCCAGTAGTCCTTAGGTTGTAGTAGTCCTTAATTGTATTTAGAAGCAACACAAGGACTGTTGAAGATGGACTGTGCAACATTTAAAAAGACCGATCGAATGACAAACAATTTTAATTTAAATGTTCATAAACGTCATAATTTGAAGCTCCTTGAAGGCTTTTGGCGATATATATATATATATATATATATATATATATATATATATATATATATATATATTGGTCAAATTTTTAATCGTCAATAAAATACTTTTTATTCATCCACTCAAGTTCAAATACATTGTTTTTAGCTTGTAGTGGATGACACTTGATGTTAATACAGTTTTTTCGAATATTAATCCATTAATTCTATTTAATTAGTGAATAAATAATAACAAACAAAATTAATATTCCAACACCATACATAAAAAGGAAAATCACTCGCTGTGTCTCTGTAGCGCAATGGATAACGTGTTGGACTTTTAATACAAATATTGTGGGTTTGAATTCCAACTGGGATGGTTTAATTTCTGAGAATGTGATTTTTCGTTACTATACTATTCTATTGGAATAATTGAATTTAATTCATGAGAATAAATAGTAGCAAAGAAAAGTAATAGATTCCAACACCTTATATAGAAAGAAAAATGGTAAATTGCAAGGAAAATTGCTTTCTATTAGCCGCTTAATATTGTGATTCTGTCATACGTATATTAATTAATAATATTAATAGTTATATTAATTTTAATTACTTAATAAAAATTAACTAAAATAAGACATTTTTTTTGTTGACCGAAGTAGGAATTGACTTAATGTTTTTATATTGCTTTTTAAATCTCACACAAGCGAAGGTATTGACACCTGAGCCACTCTGGAACTGACAACCCATTATGCCTAGTGTCCAGTTCATACCATTATGAGGACTTTAAGCCACGATAAATTTAACCTGCATCATTCCCACTGGATTTTTATGGGTATCAGGACTTGAACCTATGACTCGACAGTTAAAGGCTAAAAACGCCGGCCCCTTAACCCCGAAGCGAGAGAAGAGAGAGAATCGGAGATGCTTTGAAACCTTCGAAGAGAGCGAACTCCTAAAGAGAACTCCTCTCTCACAAACCACATCACTTGGACTCTAATAATCTTTTAATAAGTTCAATTTATAATCTGTAAATAATAGCTGGGACGTAAATAAACTAAGTGTTTATCCTTATCATTATCACGCTACTGTTATTTATCTCAAACGTCACAGCCCCTATAGTTCTTCCAATGAGTCAGGTAAATCTATTTAATAAATGAACGTACTTTAGAAATTAAGGAGGCCAAAGCTTAAAAAAAGGTACTTTAGATACCTGTATTAAATTTTAAAAGTACCTGTTACTAAACCTAAAACGATAAACAGGAAAACAGTTTACGGTTAGTAAATGAAAAACAAAAGTTTAGTAATAAATAAAGATTTAATAAAGAAAAGTAAACAAAGATTTTTCAAAAAATGAGAAATTATCTCACTTATGGTACTTATCTCACTTATGGTAAAATATATTTATGCGTACAGGGCTTTTTCGCAATTAATCGGTTTTACCACTCTTTATACCTCAGACTCAATAACTTTAATATGCTACAATACATTAGTTGAGGATTATCATTTTACTTCTCTCTCTTTTTAAGTCTTCTATTCATTTTCAATTATTGCTGAGAGTGAGAACTCGGATTAATTAATTAATCTCCTTCCTTTCACACAACCTATTGAACACTATACATCGAACTTTCTAATAGAAAATAACAATTGATCACCCACGCAATGCTTTTATTCGTCTTTGGGAGAAGTAGATAGTTACACCAGGTGGCGCTCGTTCAATATGATTGGCCGCTTACAGAATTGAGGGTCCTTTGTCAATTAATTACAGCCTGCAGCTAACTACAGTACAAAGGAGCTCTGAATCTTAGAATAATTAATCAGACATTCCCATTGAAAGGTAGAAGAATGAGAGAATAATTAAAGATTTCATCGACGGATGCGTTTTAGAAATGATGACACCTACCTGTATGTTTTGGAACAATACCATTGAAATATGTTAGTCCATGGAAATTTGGCATTAGCCCTTTTGTAAAAGAAAAACTGTTTTTAACTAGTTATAAGTACTAAAAACGATTACACGAAGAATTTAATCAGATTGAATATTTAAAAATATGTATTTATAAACTTTTTTTTGTTATATGTCGAAGTGAAAATATATCTAACGAAACGATTTAAGTCAGGGGTGGACAACTAGCGTTCCGAGGGCCGCATGTGGGTCGCAAATGTTTTTATGTCCCGCCAAGACAATTTAAAAAAAAAGAAAAAACACAGAAAATATTCTTTATATTTGGGTTAACATATATTTGTTAGCAAAGATTTTGGAATAACGTTCAACAAGAGGAAATATAAATACAAGCTGGATGACTCTAACTCACAAGCTGAAATGAGGATTTCAACAAGCAATCTCACTTCTGGTTTTAAAAAAATTGTGGAAAAGAGCTTATTTACTTCATTTAACTGATTCTAAAATCAAATGTGCATGTAGCTATAGATCAGGGGTGGCGAACTCATTTATGGATCAACGTGCCATTTTTTTCCTAAAGAAGTATTTAAGGAGGTATAGACGTGCCATATCAAATAATTTTGACATGTGATTATTGGGAAAATAATAAAACTAAATACTAGCAAAACACAAAACTCTATTTACAACGAAAAAGTACCTTTTGCACTGTATAGCGATAAATGTTTTAGTTAAACGTGTAGTTCAAATTAACGTAACATTAGTGTGACTTATGTTGTTGCTGATTGAATGACAAATAACTTATATTAGGATTGTAAGATGTTACTTTTTGTAGAATACATGATGAATTTTAATTATCTGCCAAACGGTTTCTAAGCAATTAATTATTTTTGCTGTGGTTCACTCTTTTTGACAAGAGGGTTTGTGATTTGTTTCAAAATACTGTTTTAGAAACGTTATTCTGCATACCATTGTTCCAGAACATAAAACACACACCACTTTGTAGCCTTTAAAAATAATGCAATGTTTCTCATTCCACCAGATTTGAAATTCTGTTACACTTAGCATCTTGCACTTTTTGTTCTTTTGTTTAACTAGCCATGTTACGCAACAGTTAAAAATCATAAAAATAACAGAAATAAACTTCAAAATACAGTTGTGTCAAGGAAATTGCCTATGCTATGCGTAGACAAACTTTACATCATAATCAATTGTAGTCTACGAAGTAACTAAGGCAAGACAATAACAAGCGAGTGTGCTTTCCGCCGCCCCGTGACTGATCACTCGTGTATGCTCGTAATACTTCATAGTGAACTTTGAAATAAAATACAAACCATTTTGATCACTGGCGTACCAAAAATATTTCGTCGCGTGCCATCAATGGCACGCGTGACACTGGTTCGCCATCCCTGGTATAGATGATACGAAATTAGCGAGGTAAATACACTGCTGGCCACCGTAAATGTAACACCCAGATGGAAGCATGCAAATAACATGAAATTTACAACATGCATTAGCGGAGGTGAGATATGCAAATGATTAGAATTTAAGCGCAAACACACATCGCGCGCGTCTGTGGCTCCACCTTAAAGCGCTATTTAAGGCTTGGAGATTTCAACGATTTCAAGTTTTGCAATTGTGTTTTTTGTGGTTTTTTTCAAAAAACGATCAGTTATGTCTCGTAGAGAAAACGATCAGCTTTGATCAAGTATCCGAGTTCGACAGAGGAAGGTAAGCAGCCTACCGAGATTGTGGATTATCTTTCAGGGAAATCGCTAGGCATGTTTAATGAAACCAAACAACTGTAATGAGGATATGTTACCGTTGGATGCAGGAGGGTACGACGGAGCGACGTGGTCGATCGCATCCACCACAGTGCACCACTTCACGCGTGATGACAGGCAAATTGCGCGCATGGCAGTGAGGGTTTGCTCAGTCACTTCACGAACTGTAGCACAGCACATTAAGTATGTAATGCATCATTCAGTGTCTGCGCGTACCATTCGACGCCGTTTACACCGGAGTGGTCTGTCCGCAATACGTCCATTGCTTGGTTTACCCTGGAAGAACCAAAGGTGCGATGAAAGACGGATGTGGACGCAGAATAGAATGAAGTTGTATTTACTGACGAGTCACGCATCTGTCTGCAACACCACGATGGTCGGATTCAAGTCTGGAGACACCGTGGAGAAAGGATGCTGAACAGCTACGTAATGCATTACCACACTGGTCCTGCACCGGTCATTATGGTATGGGGTGGTATTGGATATTACTCTCGCACTCCTCTAGTACGTATTGTCGGTACTTTAAACAGCCAGCGCTACATCTCCGAGGTGTTGGAGCCAGTTGTCCTTCCTTACCTTCAGGGCTTAGCCACAGCTATATTTCAACAGGATAATGCGCAACCACATGTGGCGCGCATTGTCCAAAGGTTCTTCATCAAACACCGGATATTGAATTTCTTCCCTGGCTGGCTCACTCTCCGGATCTTTCGCCGATAGAAAACATGTGCTCCATGGTTGCTCAATGATTGACCCAGATTACACCCCCAGCTGCCACAGCAGATGAACTTTGGCAACGTGTGGAAGCTGCTTGGTCTGCTGTACCCCAAGAACACATCAAAGTCTCTTTGGATCAATGCCGAAGCGTGTGGCAGCGGTGATCTCCAACAATGGCGGCTTCTCTGGTTACTGATTCTGGCAGGAACCACACTTCACAGAAGTCTATGAATTTAATCATTTGATACTTGTGGTCAACATGTTATCTACAAAATAAATTTTGTTGTGCTATCTCTTGTCTTTCTTGGTGTTGCATTTACGGTGGCCAGCAGTGTAATTATAACAAAACTGCCACTATTTAATTTAATTTGTATTTATTGATTTTTATTGAACAATTTACACCTTTTCTGAGATGTAAAATTTAATGAATGTAATCATTTTAAAAAGGTACGGCCCTCCTGTGAACCCGCTTACCCCTTGAGGCCCTCAAATCAAAAGAGTTTCCCACCTTATTTTACTTTGGGCCTGGGTTCGTATCCCGGGAAATACATGGATGTTTGTAAATGTATAGTGCCTTCGTGGCATGGGGATACTTTAAATAGCCGTCTAGCCGCAAATCCTCTCGTGAGGTTGGTGGAAGGAGAAGAGAGGTGGGAGGCCCCGGATCACCCCCAGGGTGTTCTCCCTCAAAATTGGGGTGAAACCGAGCAAAATCATTCTGTCACCTGTATGGTGCTCAAAGCTACGGCTAACGACAGGCGTCACTGAGCCCTTTGCCATGATGAATTTCGTGGGCCTTGACCTGACCTTTGCCAATCAGGTGGCATTAATAACAACAACAAAAACAAACTGTGAACATTTATCTAGGGAATGTACTACAGTTGTGATGTTTTATTAAAATATAAATATTTTAGAGCCGAGATAGGATAAATATTGTAATAAATGAGGTGTTTATCAGACTTTAATTGAAATATAAAAGGCCTT